CGGTCTCGTCAGCAAGCAGTCTAAAGATGGCTTATGATTTATTTAAAAAGTTGTACACATCGACAGTAGACCCAGAAGTAGTATCGCAAAAAACTCATGAGTTTTTTGATCCACTAACACAAAAATTATCACAAGAACAAAGGGAAAAAATGGAGGAACCAATTACCAAGGAGAAAATTTGGACGGCGCTCCTGCAAATGGAGGAAGATAAAACCCCGGGGGTGGATAGTCTCCCAAAAGAATTATGAGAAACAATGTGGGTTCCAATGTCAGAAGATTTAATGAAATATTACAGACAGGTTCAAATAGTTGGCACTATGGGAGAAATTGTTGATCAGAGGATACGAACTTTACTATATAAGAAAGGTGACAAAACCAACATAAGGAACTATAGGTCAATTACCTTGCTGACTGTGGTATATAAAATGTTAGCAAAAACCATAGCTAATAGGTTTATCCAAATAATGACAGACATTATTCATCCTTCCCAAACAGGTTTCATTCATGGGAGGAATATTCAGGATAATGTATTACTAGTCAACGAAATGATCAGAATATCCAGGCAAAATAAACAAAATATGGCTTGCATATTCATTGATTTCGAAAAAACATATGATCATGTAGATTGACATTTCCTGGATGCTTGTTTAGCTAAGTTTGAATTCGGGCTAGCAATGAGAAAATTGGTACAATTACTGCACTTTAATGCCACGACGAGAATTCAGGTAAATGGCATATTGTCTCATGAAATCCCTCTCCAAAGGTCTGTCAGAAAAGGCGATCCGTTGGCTCCATTTTTATTTATTATCATCATGGAAGTATTAGGAGCTAACATGAGAACTAATCATAATATTCAACGCCTACGGATCTTTAACATTCCAGAGGATGCTATTCCAATTTATTCAATGTTCACAGATGTCATTGATCTCTTTGTTCTGTTTGAACAAAGCTTCGTATTATTTCTATTACTTCTTCACTTTCTATCCTTACTTCTTCCATTTCGTTGATACAACGTTTGTACCATAAAGCCCACAATATCGCTTTCCTTCCTAGATGAAAGAAGTTGTGTTGGAATTCCTATAACTCTATTAATTGAGGGTTCCAATAACCTAACAAAATTGCACTCCAGTCCCAGGGCCAATCCAAGCCAGTGAGGCTTCGCCACACGTGGTCCCATCGTCTCCATAATAGAACGGCACCTGGACATTGTAAAAAGAGGTGTTCGATTGTTTCCCTTATTTTCCTCTTAAGGAAGGCCCTCATACAAGAGTTGCACCATGGCAACACCACCCGTTTCTGTTCCAATGTAGAATGGTCTATTAACCAATCATTCGTTGGTAGGCATCTGTGTACTATCTGCCATTGCAAGGAAGCAAACTTAACAGGCTTTTCTTTTAATCCCTGACACCACTTGACTGGTTTAAGCTCTTCCTCATATATATTAAGATGTCCCTGCCATCTATTTTGTACCAACTCTATAATGTTAACTTTGGGGCGCATTAGTCTTCAAGTTGTCTTAACTGATAATGTTTGTAGCCTCACTGGTTTGCATTTCCTATTTGATCGCCATAACCAGTCTGCGGGATCCAGTGGGAGGTCTGGGATCGGACAATAAGGAAGATATGCTACCCATTCCTTGGTGTTTAAGACGTACAATACCCTTATCCTATACATATCTTTGAAAGAGACAAAAGTTACCATGTCCTGATCCTTCCTTGAGATCTTATTGTCCTTGTGAATTTTGAATAGGTTGACCATGACCCTCTCCACCTGTACATCCAATATTTGCCCTATTGTCTTTGAGTTGTTTTGTTGAAAAACTCCCACCCAGTCTGCTACCCGAAGGACTGCTCTTTCTTTCAGGGAAGCTATCCAGGATAGAGGTATGGCTGAGATTATTTCATCCAACCGGTCAAGGAGCTTATGTGCATACCTAATCTCTTTTCTAAGTTCCTTTACCGATTTCCAACTTTTTTGTTCAGCATTCCATAGATCCTTAATTCTAATTACCCCATTCTTTACCCACGTGGACCATGGAGAATCAGAGCTAATAAATACCCGCCCATTTTGGTCCGTGATCCATCGATTGCCAAACAAAGGCTGACATAGGATTTCCTCATACCTTGTCGGTGTTGTTTTGTTAGGTAAGGGCAATTCCCTCCAATATCTTAGCTTGTTTGACCAGAAACTATCATGAGTTAGATCTTTCCTCGCCTCACCTCTTGCCCCTGTTTCCATTGACTGTGTATGGGCTCGCGGGATGGTCCAAAACCTGTCGTCCACCCAGGATGAATGTCCTTAATCGTTTGTGGTGCCAGTCTTCAAATTTGTTCTAGCGCCAGGTTTTGCCATGACAGGTTTGTGGCCAGAATCAAACGTTTTAATACTCGTAGCGCTAGTGATTTGCATTGGGTTTTGGGTCGATAAGTCCCAACCCACCTTTATCTCTAGGTTGAATTACAATATGTCAGGCTACCCTTGGGATCACATTTGGTGATTCATGATTCCCACGCCATAGAAACGCTGTTACTTGTCTCATTAACTCTTTTGTCGCAGTTTTTGTGAGTAGTCATAACATTGCTTTATACCAGATTGAAACTAGAACCACGTTGTTGATAATTAAGGATCTCCCAAATAACGATGTATGTTTATTCCGCCATAATTTCATTTTTTTTAATGCAGGCGACGAAATCCATAGATCATTTGAGTTGGGTTTTCCTTGAGTTGTCAGTATTACTCCTAGAACTCTGATAGGAGCTTCAAGATGCACCCATTTGATTATAGGGAGTTCATGTGGTCTATCTCCTTGGGAATGTATCCACCATCCTTGTGTTTTATTACCCCAGTTTACCAACATATCCGAGAGGGCCGAGAATTTGTCCATTAGTGCCTTAATTTCTTCCATATTTGTTTTGGAGGCTTCCATCATAACAGTTGGTGAGAAACTTGGGGAAATAATATGGCCAGGGGAGGAAGAGGAGAAGGGGAAGATCACACAGGATTACCAGATTACCTTTCAGAATTGGTTAGACATCCAACCAGGGGCCTATTTGAGAACACCAGAACTATTTGCGGATCCTTTCCCACCTGCGCCGTTAGCACTGGTGGATCTTCAATGGTTTGGAGGAGGGGAGGACATGACATAGGATTAGGTTGAATAGGGTCCTATTAGAGGGGGGCTAGGAGTAATTTTTCCCATCAGGCGGTCAGAATTTAAACTGAAGAGGTTTCCCCATGACTAGTAGTACTCATTCTTCAAAAGATAGTAGTATGGTTTAGGCCTTAATACTGGATTGAAAAGATAGAAAGAAAGGGACACTGGACCCGGTTTCCAGCATAGGGCTATCCTCTGTTTTATTTTCATGATGTAAGGGACGCTGGACCCGGTTTCCAGCAGGTGCAGCTCCCCACCAATAGATGGAGCATCTTTCCAAAAAAAAATAATAATTAAAAAAAAAAAAATCAATAATAAAGAAAAGAAGGCACACATGCCAAGGGTGTCTCTCCACTACTCTAACTCTCCATATACACATGTATCTGGACTGTATTGTCGCCCAGATACTTTGGGACTGACCCAACACTTTGAATGTATTAAATCGGGACCATTACCGGGGTCAGATGCATTTAGAATGTTGTGTAGTGGAGTGGGGCCACAAGCTTATCCTGTGGAGATAAACAGCAGTAGCATGCATGCAATACGCAGCCACTACCTCTTCTTCCATGGAGCAGAAAAAACACCGGGTGCTATTCGGACGGCACCTACATTATTCACCCGAATAAAAGGCACGGTTATTATAGCTGTATTTGGGGCAACTTTCAGTCTAGATACCCCCAAAATGACCGGGCTTTCTATTCAGGTGACGAGTGCACGTACCCAGGAAAGCCGTCATGTACATGTACCTTCATATTGACTCGGCATTGTGTTCATAGGAAGAAGGCAGGCAGCTACTCTTCGCGCAGATTTCCTTGAGGTATTATCATCGGACTAACCAGCCCAGGTATAAAAAAAGCAAAAAAAAAGTTTTTTTTCCTTCCGAAACTCCGATTCAGGAAGCTTCCACCTACCTTCTTCACCCGAATAGAACGCCCGGTCATTATAGCTGCATTTGGCCCAACTTTCAGTCCAGATGCAACGGTAATGACCGGGAGTTCTATTCGGATGAAGACGGGAGGGAGGTGATACGAGGTAGTAAAGGACAAAAAAGAGAATTTGAGAGAAGAATATAGCGTAGTAACCGCCGTAGTTTGTTTTTTTTTTAGATTGAAAAACAAAAAACAAAAACAAAGGCACCGATAACAAACAATCCTAAGGCAACGACTGTAACTGCAGTGAAAAGTGTTCAGTTGTAGCACTAGAGTTCATATCAGCATGTCATTTCTGAGCGATCGTGCGTCTCACTAGAAACGCTCCGGTGAGAACCGGGGCCAAGTCCCGCTGGCAGCGTTGAGCTAACTCAACGCCTGAATCTGGACGCTTTTGCAGAGATGTGCAGAAATGGTGTTGAGTTTCCTGACCCGCAGGTCTCCACAAACACGTCCAGATTCAGGCGTTGAGGTAGCTCAACGCTGCTTGTGGGACTTGGCCCCGGAGGAGAAGGATATTATTACTGCGGCAACAGGAAGAGGGAAAAAAAGGAAGAAAGAAAGAAAGGAAGAAAGGAAGAAAGGAAGAGAGAAGAGAAAGGAAGAGAGAAGAAGAAAGGAAGAGAGAAGAAGAAAGGAAGAGAGAAGATAACGAGAGCTAAAGGTAATTACAATGAGGAAGGAAAAGAAGAACCAGCAACAAAAAAAAAAAACAAAAAAAAAAGAAGGAGCCTTGGTTAGAGGGAGACGAGAGGAGAGGAGAAGATTGCAAGGTTATCGCAACATCAGCAAAAAGAAGCAGAAGACAAAACACATCCACCACAGCCTCGAGTTAAGAGGGGTAAGAGGGGCAAGAGGGCCTTTTTACACACCGCTCCAATCTATAGAACGCGGCAAAAAAGATTCAAGGTTACTTTCTTTGAAATTTGAAGTTTTGAATATTGCACCGCTGCTATAAATCTGCCCGCAGCATTAAAAAAAAAACAAAAAAAAAAGGGTCTGGAATATGATGACCTGCTGGAAAACGTGTCCAGCTTCCCAGCAACCCACCCCTCCACCCACTCAGCATTACAAACCACTCTCCCCCTCTAATGCAGGTTCCCCTGCTCCCCGACGATATAGCCTCTTCAACCCTTTACAATTATATCTGATAACCAGATTAGAACCAAAAACCAACTCATCTCCGCTCCACTAGCATCAGCTTCACTTCTACTGAAAGTCACACATCTTCCTTGTCACCGTGGGCGGATAGAAGCAGCACAGACACAGACAGAGCGCGCGCGCTAGAGAGAGAGAGAGAGAGAGAGAGAGAGAGAGAGAGAGAGAGAGAGAGAGAGAGANGGGGGGAGGAGAAGAAGGAGAAAAAAGGCAATTGATAACAAAGTACGCTAAGCCTAGGGAGGAGGGGGTTCGCAAGCGGCGACGGCTTTGTCGAAGGATGGATGATTTCGGGCGAGTTTTTGAGCCCATGCAGTGATGTTGACGTACTCCTCACCGGTCTTAGAGGACTGGATCTTGCCACGTCTCTGGATCATCGCCGCCACCCACACGTACATCGCGATATCGACGATGGAGAATTCCCCTCCAGCTATGTACTCCTTCCCATCCTTGAGGTGCTCCTCGAGAACGGCGAGTACTCTCTCAGTCTCGCCCACGTACCGCTGCGTGGGATAAGGGTCAGCGCACATCTCCGCAGCGAACATGGTGTAGTGGGCGAACTCCCGGACTGATATGGCGATGCCCGTCACCACAGCGAAGAGCCACTGCAAGGCTTCACATCTCTTGCGGGGATCGGTCGGAAGAAGCTTGCCGGTTTTCTGGACCAGGTACAGAAGGATCGCTCCCGTCTCGCACACAGTGATGGGCTCCCCACCTGGTCCGTCTTCGTCGATGATCGCGGGAATCCTGCCCGTCGGATTGACCTTCTTATACTCGTCGCTGAACTGCTCGCCCTGGAAGATGGCCACGGGTTGCACCTCGTATTCCAGCCCCAGCTCTTCCAAAGCCGCCACAATCTTGTGAGCGTTCGGAGTTGGCGCCGTGAACACTTTGATGGGCGCCATTCTTCCTCGTCGCGGAGGCAATGCCGCACACGCCGCGGATGTCGCACACCCTCCCCTCGCACAATGATACCCCTCACCGCCTTTTTCGCCCTCGAAACTGCCGATCAACAATACCCCGCCCACGTTAGCACGACCAGCGGCGCGGAAAAAAGCACGGTGCCAAAAAAAAAATCACGTGATGTCCTCGTCTCGGGCCTAACGAGCGGGTCTCCTCCCTCTGGAGCCTTGCACAGCGAGCGTCACCTCGCTACAGCAAGGGGAGCGGGGGACATGGAGCGTGGCGATGGGAAATAGAGTGATGTCAACTTCATTGGTCACGCTCTTTGCTGGCTGCTTTGTTTTATAGGAACTCGGGGGGTGGAGGGGAACCCAAACCAGGTCCGCGGTTTTTTATTTTTTTTTGTCCCCGCCTTTTTCCTTGCCTCCGTACAAGCGCTTCTGCAAATGGTACGACAGTCGGGCTGAATCTCACGTGGACTACACGGAGGGTCGTGCACAGCAAGGAGAGTATTTATTCGTTCGAGCGCGTACTCAGGGCCATGGGCCTCGCTCCACTACAGTTGGACGTGCACAAAAGACAAAAGTCATGGCGGTATTGCAGTACCACGTTCCATGTTTTAGGTGAAGATTCACTCTCGTTTTGCACAAGTCGAGAGTGGTGGAGCGCAGGCACTAAATGTGCAAAATGAGAATCCGCCCTTCGGGATATTTGTTAAAATTGGATTGCATCCGTTCTTCGGGACATTCCTAAACCAAATTACATCACTGTCATCCGTAAAATTGGAGCGAGAAAGAGCATGGTCCCCTCAAAAAAAAAAAAAAAAAAAAAAAAAAGAGCATGGTCCCAATAGAACTAGAAAGGTAAAAACAAAAAAAAAAACCCACAAAGTGTGACAGAATTAAGGATTTTGAGGTAAAGAAAATAAGACAACAGTGTAAGAAAATGCCTTTCGGAGATGAGTGATGTCACATTTGGATTCACCCATTTGGTGTGCCCCAGATTTCCCACTCTAGATTGGTGGGAGATTGCAAGTAATTTTTCCCCTTCGTTTTTTTGGGACTGCTGAGTATAACAAAACAAAAAAAAAAAAAAAAAAAAAAAAGAGCATGGTCCCTTCGCAATGGGTGACACGCATAAACCAAATTACATCACTCTCATCCGCCAAATTTCTGGAGGCCAAAATAATAATAATATTATAACAAATTAATAATAAAATAAAAAATCTGGAGGGATGTGCCAAGTGTCCAGTGCATCAAAATTTTGGCCGATGGCGAGTGGGTGCAAAGAGCCCTTGATTCACCGCTACAGAACGGAAAGATACACGAGTCTTTCGTGCATGTGGTAAGCGGTGGAATGAGCCCCTTTATTTTATTTTTTTATTATTATTATTTTTTTTCTACTCAGCTGTGGAGGTAATTAAGGTCAGAGAGACCCACGGAGGGCCGCAATTGTCATCAGATTCATCCAGAACACAAGTACGCCCGGAAGGTTTTGCATGTGCCGACGATAGATGGGGGGCCTTGCGCAAGCGTCCGTCATCAGCTGCCGTCATCAGCTGCCGTCACACTGATCGAGGCTGACGAACGCGAAGGTGTTTCCTGGTTCTTGCCCTGCAATAGGGCCTCCCTCCACTACTCTCAGGGCATAGTCACATTGGGACTTTTTTTTTTTTTTTTTTTTTTTTYTGAAAAAAATTGGACCATTTCTCGATTTATGCGTGTCATCCTTGAAAGCGCAGGGGCCATGCTAATCTTCTCTGTATCGTTCCAATTTTAACGGATGTCCCGAAGGACCATTGGGACTTTTTGGACTAAGCTCTGGACGTAATTGCGCTCAGATACATCCAGGTCATGCCATGGTAGGATTCGAGTCCGTGAGTGCACTGGTGGTTTCAGCTCGTGCTATCATAAGCCTCCAAGATTTTCCTGCTTTAGGGCGTAGCTGCATCACTCGCCATCTGGCTAGATTTTGAATGCATCTGCAACTGAGGGGCTACCTGTAGTTGCTCCCCACCAATAGATGGAGCCTCTCCCCAGCAGCAACACCTGCTGGAAAACGGGTCCACCTACAAAAAAAAAAGCGCTGTTTTTTTTTTTTTTTTTTTTTTTTTGAAATAAGTTCACTCACCCGACCCCCCCCAACCAAAAATTTGTTCTTTTTAATTTTGTTTTGTTCGAGGGGGTGGGGCTGGGGTTGCGCCGCCCCATGGCGCTTCCCGAATCCCCAACCCCCCTCCCCACTGGCCGCCACGTGGCCTCAAAGCCGCGCGTCCACGGGGTCGGCGGTCTGGCCACGTCCGCGGATTCGGCCGCGCTTGGCCGCCGCCCAGGGGGATTCATAGCTCCCCACCTACTTTATGGCATGAATGACAATGTATGCTTGTCATGAAATGGTTGTCTGATGGGCTTGCGTTTGATTAGCCATGGGATGACGGGGCAGGGGTGCAGAGCACACGGAGAACTGAATTATGCATGGCTGCCATTTTCGCACCTTCCGCGATAAGTGACCGCAAGTGTAGATGGAAATACTCGGATGATGAAACTGTCGTTTGATGGACTGGTCTTTGATTACGCCGAAGAGTCGTTACGAATGGAATGTATGAACATGGTCGCGTCGTTGGCAAGGACAATGTTGTTGGGATTTTGTTTGAGAATGCAAGAGTGTTTAGATCTGCCGGTGATGTGATTGCGGGAGAGTTCCCCGGGATCTTTAACCCGGAATGCACTGCGCATGCCATCTGCCTTATGCTGCACGACATCTGCAGCTTGCCCTCGATACGCAAAACCCGAGAGGCGGTCTATCTTCTCAGGAAGAAAAAAAGGCGCCACGTGCGACCTGCATGCGTGGATCAATTGCCGCGTCTCACTGGATGTGAGTTCTATCCCCACGGTTTCTTTATGAAGACTTCCTGGCGGGACTGCTAGATCGTCGTGAATATTCTCTCTCTCCGATCTATTTATGAGAAAATGGATGCTACGTGGCACCCTGGGCCGCGGATCCTGCGGCCCAGTTCGAGCCGTGCGGCCTAGGTCGCGCGGCCGAGTTCCCGCGCGGTCGCGCCACAGCCCAGTGGGGGCGCGCGAGGGAAATCGGCGCGCAGCCTCGGCCTGCGCACGTCCTCCTCTAGAGGACTGCTCATTCAAAATTTTTTTTTTTTGGGGGGGGGGCGGTGTGATTTTTTATGAGTGAGAAAATTAATTTAAAAAATAGAAAAAAAAATATTTGTTGATTCATTGATTGATTGATTGATTGATTGATTGATTGATTGATTGATTGGTTGATTGGTTGATTGATTGATTGATTGATGATTGATTGATTGATTGATTGATTGATTGATTAAATGATTGATGATTGATTGATTGATTGATTGATTGATTGATTGATTGAT